AGCGCTTAGGGTTTTAGGGCTTATAGGGTTTAGGGCTTAGGGTTTTGGGGTTTTAGGGTTTAGGCTTTCAGGGTTTTAAGGAGTTCAGGGGTTTGGGGGTTTTGGGGATTTAGGCTGAGGGCTTAGGGCTTTAGGGTTTAGGTTTTCAGGGTGTGGGGTTGGTACTTTAGGACTTTCGGGAGGAGGATTGAAGCAGCTGCTGTGATTGAAGGGATGGTTGAGGCTGCAGTGGTGTAGGTGTTTAGAGTTTAGGGTTTAGGGTTTAGGATTTAGGGTGCGGTAGGGCTGAGGGGTTTGAGTCTAAAGCTATCGGGCTTCAGTAGGGCTGATTGATGTCAGTCATGCCGTGCTCGCGAGGCTTACCTCTCTACCGTCTTGACTACTGCTGCTGCTACGGCTACTACTACGATTACTAATAACAATAATACCAATAATAATTTCAACATTAATAACAGATATAACAATAAGAACTAATAATAATAGTAGTAAAATAATGATAATAAGAATAGTAATAATACTAATCATACCAATAAGACTAATAGTAATAACAGTCATAATAACAATACATAAATAAACAATAACAAATCAAACAATCATAATAATACTACGAACAATAATAATGCTAAAAATACTAGCGCGACTATTGCTACGACGACAAGCACGAATATTTTCCTAATTCTTGGTTTGATTAGTACAGTACTCTTTGCTACTCTTGTTCGTGGTTCTCCTAGTTTGTGTACAGCCTTACACCCTGAACCCTAAACCGCGCATTGCAAGCTTTCGGAAAGCGCCTATAAATACCAAAGAACCGCTATAGACTCCTTTGTAAGCTCCGGAAAGGCTCAGGAACTCTTATAAAGCCTTTCAGGAATCTGAGCCTGTAGAGAACCCGTATAGAATCCTTGTGGAATCCTTTGGAATCTTCACAAAACCCTCAAAAGGCCGTTTGACCACTCATGGTATAATGGTAACGATCCTTCCACGCCTGAACAGAGTTGCTTGAGGCTTCGTCTGCAGGGCGTTTGGTGCTTCAAACCCTTCTGGAGCCGCGGCCAGCAAGTGCAGGGATCAGGGCAGTGGAGCCGGTCCTGCAGGAGCCCGGTTCAGGGGTTAGGGTTTTGGGTTTAGGGGCGTACTTAGGACACCCTAAAGCCCTACACGCCGAGACCCAGAACCCAGAAACCTTATAACAAACCTTGGGACATGAACACCTAAACCTTAGGGTCGTAAAAAAGCAACCCCTATAATCCAAAACCTTCTGGCGAGCGACCCCAAACTCTGGAGCCACAGGCAAGCTCCAAATCCCCTGACCAAACTCTGTAACCTCAAGCATCCTCGGAACCCTCAAGCCTAAGCCAATTGTACTGAAGTAGGCCCCCACCGAAACCCAAAGCACTAAAATCCAATCCTTAAAACCTAAAGCCAGAACAGAATCCCAAACCCTAAAGCCCTAAAACCCAAAACCACGCAACATTCTCAGCATGATAGCATGGGGGGGCGGAACATTAAAATAGTGTGCCGCCACTGTCGTCCCTACATCAACACCGTCTAAACCCAATCCCGGGTACAATCTTTGTCAACCCTGCTAGATCCATTCTCCCGTATCGAAGCCCGGTATGAAACCCCCAAAGAAGTCCACATCACTCTCAGACGTATAAGCCCTCATAGAACCTTCCTCATCCCTTATCGACTCCCGGTAAAGAACCAGCAAAGTCCACAGGGCTACTTACTCTCTTGTAGGTGCCCGAGGACAGATTGCCTGAAGGATCCTAAGTACCTAGATGGCAGAATGTGGGATTTCTATACTAGGAATTGCTATTATGGTTTGGGCACGTATCCCCCACATGGGTTCCTAGGCTAAACCCGAAACCCTTACTCCCGAAACCCTAAACCCTAAACCCTTACTCCCTAAACCCCAAGTACTCCCCATACCTAAACCTACCAGAACCTAGTTTTTTGTAGGGTCCCTATAAATTCCATACTAGGGTTTATAATGAGAACCTACAAAAAAGTGGGTTTTGCTAGGTTAAGGTATAAGTGCTTAGGACCCACAAACTAGATCCTAAATCCTAAATCCTAGTTCCTAAATCCTAGAACCCTGAATCCTAAATCCTGGAACCCTAGGATTTGCTATTATGGTTTCATCAAGTATTCCACATAGAAGTGCTTAGGGCCCTTTCGCTCTTCGGGTCCTGGGCCGATTGCACCGGAGCGCTTCCACCACTCGACGTAATCCTTTCTTCACCCTAAGGGTCCCGGTTAAGGTTTAGGGTTTAGGNNGGTTTAGGGGTCCATGTACCCAAATAATACATACTTTGGCCTTAAAGTACGTTGTCCCTATATAGGTACTTTGGGGCCAATGTATATACTACAGGAGTACATGGACCCTCAGGGTCAGGGAAGGTTGCGGGTTTAGGGTTTCTGGGGTTTAGGGTTTAGGGTCTAGGGTTGCGGGGCTTTAGGTGTAGAGTTCCTTTGTAAACGGGGTTTAAGGTTTAGAGTTTAGGGTTTAGGGTTGGGTTTATAGCGTTGAGTCTTTAGTGGGCTTGAGGTTTCAGGGCTTAGACTTCCTGGGTATAAGGTTTAGAGCGTGCTACACGACTGCTCCACTACCTAACTTACACTCCTCCTGCTCCTCGTGCTGTTGCTACTGGACTCTGCTGCCGCTACTGCTACTGCTGCATGGGTTTCGGGTTTCGGGTTTCGGGTTAGGGTTATAGTATTATAGACCCCAAAACCCGATTCTAATAACAATAAAGGTCCCGATATTAGCCTCAACCTCAAAGCCCAGAACATGCCTTCCCAGTCGGAACCTTTGCCCCTGAGCCTGGTGTACATGCAGCAGAGGTAGTGCCGCATCCCTCAACCGGATGTATGTTTACATCCAGCCGCAAACTAGACCCTTAATTAACCCCAAACCGTCCTACATCCAGCACTGTCGCATCTGTCCTCGTAATCCATGCCGAGGAAATACTCCACAT